AATTTCTGTCCTGCACAGAGACAAGAGCTTGCTCTGCAGCACATCCTTACATCAATAATAATTTTCTTTCCCTTCGTGCCTGTGTTGGAGAAGGCTGGTGAGCAGATCTGAGGAAGAAGAGATTAGAGAAGTTATCTAGAGGGGAGCTGGAGTGTTTGCCACAGCATGGGAGTGCAGAGATCAGCCTGCACCAGTTACATCCCAGCTGGTACTACAGATGTAACCAGCACAGCCAAAGGTTTCCACACGGATGCACTTCAGATAGTCTCTGGTGTCATTCCAGTTGGGACAGAACACCATGTAAGAGCTACCCTTGCAAAACAAAAAGGATGATGTGTACATCTGCCAGGCAAATCCAACCCAGACTCAGCAGAAGCTTTTAGGTAACTGCAGCAGCAGTATTTCATTTAGAGTTACTTGGGAGGCTGGGGCCACAGACAAAGAACTGGGACAAATTCTGATATCTGATAGTGAAAAACTGCAGCCCTATGTCAGTCTACGGACAAAACAAACATTGTTTTCCCCTACATGAGGTATCATTCCAAGCTGTCTCTCAGACATGGCTATAAGGACTTTAGATAAAGTGGGTTTGCTATAGATGTCCAGGTATTACTGTACCAGCTGGCTGTGAGCTCCCCAGCCTGTCCAGACTGGATAAACACTGTCATGTTGTTCAGCCCTCCAGGTGTGCCCAGCCTGTACACTGCAGCAGCCTGGGCACTGCCAGGCTTGGCCAGATGGAAAGTTCCCAAATATGCATTTTCACATAATGAAACAGAAGTATTTCACAGTATGCCTGACAGGGAGGTTAATTCTGTAGGACAGGAGTTAGCTTTGCTGAAGTCTAAATGTAGCAACCCTGTCATTAGGCACCACAGAATCATCAAGGTTGGAAAAGATCTTCAAGATCACCAAGTCCAACCACCCACCCTACAACTCCCAAATACTAAACCATCTTATGAAACACCACATCTACCCATTTTTTTAACACCACAGGGACGGTGCCTCCACCACCTCCCTGGGCAGCCTGTTCCAAGGCCTCGCCACTCTTCCTGTGAAGAAATGTTTTCTAATATCCAGCCTGAACCTCCCCCGGCACAGCTTGACCCCATTTCCTCTTGTCCCATCCCTGGTCACCAGGAGAAGAGCCCAACACCCACCTCAGCACCTCTCAGATAGTTGTAGAGAGCAATGAGGTGGCTATTTGCCATTAAGTGTACTTAGTCTCTGGCCAACATCCAAACACCACGGTGAATATCCAGGGGGATACTGGTTAGCTGAGCCACTCTGCTGCTCCAGCCCAGTGTGTTCCTGACCTGCTGCTTTGGAAGGCTCCACAAACTCAAGGTGCATTTGGGAAGGCCATGAGATCTCTTCATTCCCCAGGTACCTGCAGCTTCCAGGTGCCCTGAAACAGAGCTGGACCCTGGGAAAAATCAGGAGCCCTTTTCCCACTACTCCTAAAAGCTGTCAGCAGTAGAAGGCATGGGTGAGGGCTCAGAGCAAGCAGGGGCTTGCAGAGCTGAGCAGGGCAGCACAAAGGACCCTACGGGACCTGCCAGGGATCCCCAGAGGGGATGCTCCCTGGGAACATTCTGGAATGCAGGTATTTTTCTTCACCAAGACAGCAACCAACCATCTTTTCCTCGGAGCCATTCCACATATGCACACACAGCAAACAAGTACAGACTTTTGTCCAGAGGCATGGGAGCAGCTTCCCTAGCTCCATCTGCTCTGACACATCTCCCTTGGTACCCAGTGATTTCTGGTCCCATGTCCACTCACTGCACAACACCTCCTTTCAGACCACACCAGAGCCTCAGAAGAGTCCCTCTCTCACCAAAACTGGGGTCAGTTCCTTCAGAAACCTGCTGAGAACCCATCTACACTGGAAAACCCTCCAGCTGGAGCAGGCTGTCCTGGGCTCCCCTAGTTCCTGTGCCAGGGCCCCTTGCTGGCAGCAGGGCAGTGCTGTGAGTGTCACACCGCCCTGCAACTGAGAATCCTGTGTCACAACAGCCATGCCCGCAAGACCTGGGCTTGTCAGAGCGATAAGAGCAGTTGCTGTGTGGCCCAGGGCTCAGCACTCGCCTTGGACCTACAAGTATTTCCCCTCCCGACCGTAAATTGGGAGCTCCCTCTGCAGACCCGTCCCGATCCTGCAGCTTCGGTACAGGCAAAATGCCACTTCTGCCACCTGCCCTGTCCCCAGACATGGGGGTGTCACTCCCTGCCCAAGGAGAGGGAGCAGCTGGAGCCCCCGGGGCTGTGGTTTTGCTCACACGTGAGGAACTGCAGCTTCTCAGCACCGTGTGAGCAGAAGGGCAAACAGGAACATACAGGTTGGAAGGTAAGGAGAAGGCTAAGGTGGACAGAAGTCCTTCTGGGGGCTGGGAACTCAGCAAGGCAGGGCAACCTCAAATCCACTGCAGAGGGGGGCAAGGAGTATCTCCAGAGCAAGGCAGCCCAGGCTGCAGGGAGAAGACAGCAAGCCCTGCACCCACTGCAGGAGGAGGCCCACCTGGCCAGAGCCAAAGCAGGTTCTGGAGGAGGTGACATCAAACACAGGGTTGTGAGGCAGCTGTCCTGCCTGGCACTGTCTCCAGCATGCAGGTCCCTGAGCAAGTCAGGAGACCTTCTACCAAGGCTGTGCTTGTTTTGAGCACGTGATGTTTAAGGTGGCAGCCCAAGGGAAAAGCAAGAAGGGAGAACAGGCAGCAGGGAAAAAACAAACACACGTTCATTTTTCATATGTTTAATGGACTTCATAATCCACAGACACCACCAGCTAAGGATGCTGGAGGAGTAAAAAAAACCCTTTTGCTGAAAGATGGGAAGTGATAGTAAAAGAAGTATCAGCAAAGGTGGTTTTCAGAGGGGTGCCCATGGAAGGGCTCAAGACTCAGTGCTCAGATGGAAAGGCTTGCTTTAAAGTGAACATTACAAAGATGATCTCCTCACACTGTCGGTGGGTCCCATACTCAAAGAGGCAGGAGAACAAGGGGGAACCATCTGGCCCAACCCCCATGTACTGCAGATCTGAATAAGCACACAGGCCCCTGAAGAGGACGCTTGGTTCTGTCCAGTGTGTTGGATTTAAAGGGCTTTTGTTGAGGTAAATTCCCAAATCTCTTCGACCTTTTAGGTGTGTGGGGTGAGCGTAGAGCAACCAACTATCTTGGCATCTGGTACCCGGGGGAGGTGGGAAGGCAACAATGCTTCCATGACATCCAGAGGGAGGTTCTACCAGCGCTTCAACCCGCTGGCCTGCCTCAAAGTCCACCCCATGGTTGTAGCTGACAGCCTGGACTCGGGCTCCCGTGCTGCTCCTTGCATTGCAGTAGAGGACCCTCCTGCCACAGGTGTGCAGCTCTGCTACCTGGCACTCCCCTGCACTCTCCTCCTCCACGAAGTTCCCCATCTTCCATGTCGCCCCATGGTCGGAGCTGATGAAGCAGAAGGAGTGAGGGGTGGGGTGTTCCCTGGGGCCCAGGATCCGGTAGGCATAGGCAGGGATCACCAGGGCCTGGTTGAGCAGCTGCAGCCCATGGCCTGGCCCCACGGCAAAGGTGGCCCAGTTCTTGTACTGGGCGCCAATGGTGTCCTTGGTGACATCCTGGGCAACACTCCAGCTCTGCCCTTGGTCTGCACTCGTGACGTAGCACAGACGTACCAGGTTGGTCTTTGTCCTGAGCTGGTGCTGCTCAGACATCTTTCCCGGGATGGCTATGAAGAACAGGATCAGCTTCCCCAAGACCTCATCATAAACAGGACAGGGGTTCATGGACCGGTGGCCTTCCAGCTGCGCGCTGACAAGGGTCTCCGTGCTGCTCCACTGCGTGGGAGGGGGGGGCAAGAATGAAACACAGGGTTACAAACATCCTCCTTATAGTGTAAGGATGTCTGGGCAGAAGTTATGGAAGAGCATGAGAAGAAGAGAAGAGAAGCAAGTCAGAGGACAGAGCAAGAAATGGGAAGGCAATATAGTGGCATCACCAAACCTACATGAAAGTGACACGGATGACACAAGGCACGTGCATGTCACCAAACAGGTGGGTTGTGTCCTCTTTTATTCCTGCTCAGCAAGGAGCTGATAGCTTTGCATCCCAGTGCAGCTCGTGTCCAGTGACACTGTTTAAAAACACAGTAGCTGAATTTTCAGAAATGCTCACAAATATGACACAGAGACAAGCCCAGAGGAGGCCCGAGTGTGCTGGTAAGGACACTGTGCTGTGTTAGTGCTTCTTAGGAAGTCACTGACAGACAGAAGACAACTGAGCCCTTTTCCATTGTCCTGGATGCTGACAAATTCCTTTCCATTCAAACTCCCATTCCTCTGTGTCAATCCATGTGTGGATAGACATCCCAGCCCAGGCCGTGGCACTGATTTGTGGCACATTTACACATTCTGGTCCAGGAATGTGGGCCCCAAGTCATACAACACAGACAGTTGCAGAGCAGGTATAACCACCCTCTTTGCCCTCTGTCTCTAAATGGATAGCACAGAACACCATCACATTTCTAACAGTATCATCGCAAAAATTATTCCTACCTTGTGTTAATTGGCTTGGTAAAAGAAACAATTTTCTTTTCCTGTGAGATTACACTAACTAGCTTTTCTACCCTGACTTGCTGATTACCCTTTTTGGTCACATTTTGTCTTTGTCTATTTAACCAGTATTAACTTTTGGGGAAGATTTAATATTTCTATTTTAAAAAACTGCAGCATAGGAACACAAATTGCTAAGTTTATGAACAACTGAGCCCTATTTAACTGAATTCAGGGGGTTACACAAGATGTTACCAGAATGGTGGGACACTGCAGGTGCACCCAGGGGCTGCTTCTGCTGGGGAGACTCCAGCTCTTAAGAGTCTGTTCTCTAAGACAACCAGTCACCAATGAAGGATTGGAATAAAAAAATACAATGACCCTCCCCCGCCCCACCTGAAGAAATGAATGCATTTGCAAATGCAAAAAAAGAACTGTTAACAGTCATCAGGAGGTCCAGAGAAGGGCCACAAAGATGATCCAAGGGCTGGAGCAGCTCTGCTCTTGCTTCAGCTGTGCACAGAAAGGAAGGACAATCCTTGACTCCTTCCTTAAGTACTTCAGCCTCAACAAAACAAGTATCCTGCAGGTGCAGCTGATACATATTATGCCCCCAAACTGTTGATTGTTCCTGCAGCTCAAGAGAAAGCTTCACCATCGCCTCAACTTTCCTCATGCAGAGTCTACCCGTTGCAGCTCTGATTTATATTATCATCAAGGGGTACAACAAATAAGGCTGGGGATGGAGTCTCTTGAGCTGATGTCCCAGAGGGGAAGTGTGGATTTTGCTCAGGCAGAGATTAGGGAAAAACATTTAAAAATAGGTATTTGGATATTGTGTGTGTCCAACTAATCTGGGGCTGTTGGTTAGGAGATCTCTGGGAATCACCCCAGGTCACCTTGGTCAGTTAGCTCATCCTAACATCACAGTTCAACTACACTAATATCTGAGTCTTGAAAATTTTAGGAGCTTTGTCTAGGAGTGGTGGAATCCATTAATTTTTTGGACAATACCTCCCTTCAATCAGAATATGGACTAATTGAATTATGCTACCCCACAGCAACTGAAAAATGTGGTAAAGATTTTTTAAAAAACCTTCCCTTTTAAAAAGAGTTGGGAGGATAGTAACTAAATTATTAGTGTTAAGCTTGTCCTGGTTTGAGCCAGGATGAAGCCAATTTTCCTTTTACTGATTTTTTTTTTTTTTTTTTTTTTTTGGTGTTGAGCCTGGAGAAGAGAAGGCTCCAGGGAGACCTTAGAGCACCTTCCAGTGCCTGAAGGGGCTCCAGGAAAGCTGGGGAGGGGCTTGGGACAAGGGCAGGGAGGGAGAGGGAGAATGGATTGAAACTGGAAGAGGGAGATTTAGGTGAGATATTAGGAAGAAATTCTTCACTACAAGGGTGGTGAGGAACTGGGATGGTTGCCCAGGGAGGTTGTTGATGCTCCATCCCTGGAGGTTTTTAAGGCCAGGTTGGATGACGTTTTGTGAAACCTGGTCTAGTGGTGGGGATCCCACCTGCTCATGGCAGGGGGGTTGGAACTGGATGATCTTTAAGATCCCTTCTAATCTTAATGATTCTATGGTTCTATGAATAACTGATAGATTAATCAGGTGGCCAATTCCCTGGCACAGACAAACCAGACAACACCCTTCTGCATGGGGAGGCTGGCTGCTCTAAATTGGGCCTAAGAAGATTAATTGAAAAAAAACAACAAACAAAAAACAGTGACTGATTGCTAATTCACTCCTCCCTGTCCCCATGAGACTCCCATTTGTGCCTCATCTCCACATCTTTGCTGCTCCAAAAAGACTTTTGTCTCATCTTGCTGTCTCTGCTTCCCCAGCCATGATGGGGCTAAGTCATCCCCAGGGGCTCTGCTGCCTGTCAAGTCCTCCAAGAGCTGCCCATTCTGGGGGTTGGAAAAGACCTTGAAGATCATCAAGTCCAACAGTTAACCCAGCACTGCCAGATCCATCACTGAACCATGTCACTAAAATGATCCCACATCTTTAAAGGAAGAACCATCCTTAGATGTTTCAAAGAATCCCATTCTGAAAGGGATTCCCATATCCCATGACATCTGCAGGGAGATTCGCTTACCCTAATTTAGTGCCTAAAAATTAGATTACCAAATGTTACCCAGTCCCCTGAGCTTCCTCTGAAGGCAGTGGAGCTCCTCTTAAGAGCAATTCATCTCCTCATGGTGACCTTCTAAGGCAGGGCAGGTGACCCCCCATCTGGAGGGTTCTGCAGGACCACCAATGCTGCCTCAGGATGTAAAGCTTGAAGCTATGTCAGAGGACTCTCAGAATTTCTCAGTTACAGGGTTTATCACTAGAATCCTGTGTTTCCCAGCCTTTGTTGTCTCAGTGACCTGAAGGAGAGGGAAGGAGGAGCAGAGAGCTGCCAGTTACTCCCATATCCTTGCCAGAGTGTCCCGAGAAACATCAGGGAGCAAAAAATGGCTCTAAAGAGGATGCTGGAGCTGAGTAGCTAATTGTTGGCTCTTCCAAGGATCATGGAAAATGCAGAGGCAGTGCATCCACCATGTGATGTACTAAGTGTGGACAGATGCAGGAGAGCTGGGAGGATGTGGAACAGAGGTTTCTTGGAGGAAGGTGACCCGAAGATCCCCGACAGGCAGATGTGGCTGCTCAGTGTGGGCAGAGGGAGCAGCTGCCCTTCCCTGCAGTGAGGGGCCAAGGGAGCAGTGCAGGTGGGCAGCCTGGCCCTGTTCTCCCCACCCTGCTACCTGCACACCGTGGGTGGCTGGGTCATACACCCCTCTGCGCAGCACCAGGAGCTTGGCATGTTCATCCACCGGGTCCTCCCGCTCCTCAGCAAAGGCCAGGATGAGGCTGAAACGCGGCAGGTAGAGCAGGGCTGGGATGCGGTAGCTCCAGGTGCTGTTCTGGAACAAGGTCTCTTGCCTCAGGACGGGAAATGAAGCCATGGTGCTGGGGGAAGAGGACAAAAAGCATCACCTTCTCACCCACCTGTAGCCCTGCAAAATGTGCTGGAGCAGATGCCACCACTTCTCGCCCTCCCTGCGCAGGGGAACCTGCTCTGCTCTGAAACACCATTTCTGCTGCTTTCAGCTTTGCAGTTTTCTGGTGCTTCTCTAAAGAGAAGCCCCATGGTGCAGCTGGCAGCACAGGGCAGGCTCACCCCAGGCCTGGCGGATCTTACTGGGGTGATGTAAAGCAAATACACCCATCAGAGTCAACAAAAAAGCAGTCTGGGGGTTAGGTTTTAATTTTAATTAAATCTGCATGCTGAGATTTTTGTGGGGTTTGGTTTTTCTTTTTAATTAAATGTGCATGCTGGGATTGTTGTGGCTTTGCTTGGTAATTCAGAAGACTGTTGATAACCAAATATTACAGTATTTTCCCTCCAAAGACCATTACTGTCTTTGTTGATGGTGTTTCCACCACCCAGCACAGAACTTCTGCTTTGCCAAATATGAGCTTAAAATCCCACATAAATGACACCCTGAGGCAATCCCTGACCCCACCGAGCCCCTGTTGGAGGATGATGAGCATTGAGCATGAAAAGAGGACTTCCCTCCTCCCTGAAGAGTGGAGAACAGCACAGATGGTGTCCCACCATAACAGGTGGGACTTCCTGGGCAGGGAAAAATCTTGTCATCTATACAGTGACTTAAAAGCACCACTAGGAAGGGAAACATAAGAGGGCACCAAGGAAAGCTGCCTCCATGTCACTGGTCTGTGCTGAGCCTCCATGTAGTCTCTCTTCCCCTCCTCAGACCCACTCAGCCCTCTGTCCTCCTGCACCAAACCTCTCCTGTGAGCTCCTTTATCCTGGGAAAAACCCTCTGGCTTGGGGGAATTATGTCTGAGCACAGGGGGAATGAAAAAAAGATAATTAAAACAAGAAAATAGAAAGGATCTCTGACAGGATGCACCAGAAACTGGAGGCCTGAATAATCTTTGCTCAGCAGAAGTGTGTGTGTGGGGGGGAATGCTGAAGAAAAAATAAATTAAATTAAAAAATCAAGCCTTAGATCTGTGATGCATTGAGTGGGCAGGATGGCAGGGTGAAGATGACAATATACTATGAGTAAGAAATTCAAATGCTTCCTACCTCGGCTGAGCCAAGACTTGCTGCACTCCCCATTGAGGTTCTCCTATTTACCTACATCCCAGGCAGCACTGGAGTGGCTACTGGCCATGTGTCACACCCTGATGCCTCTGAAGGCTGTCTTGGTGATTCAGGGCCAAAAACTTATCGCTCATACAGCTGCAGAGTGCATGTGCCTCCCTGGAGAACAGTTTCCACTCTTCCATATTACAAGAGAAAAGATGATATTAGCCAGAAGAACTAATATAGACTTGGTTAACAATGGTTTGGGGGGGATTGTTGGTTTGGGGTTTTCTTACAGTGCTGACTACTGAGTTAGGACAGCACAGATAAGCTCAGCTGATTCTCTTCAGATAGGACCATCACATTATGCTCTAAGCATCACTGGGCAGCAAATTCAAATATTCCTTGTTTCACCTTCCAGATGCTATAAATATCAGTGAGATTTCTGACCTCGCAGCGCTGATCCCAAGGGTCTGAGCTGCCCTGTTGTAGCTAAAACCAGCTACAGGGACCCCAACAAGGCACAGCCCCACTGCCACTCGGGTGCAAAGCCACTGGAGATTGAAGTGGTCCTTCAGAGGGCAGCTGCTGGCCCCTGGCTGTCACTGGCACATTGTGCTCTGAGAGGAGGCAGCAGCACGACTCCCAGACACAAATGTCACCAGAATTTGGCCACAGCTTTTCATGCAGCAACACGAAGACCTTCCCAGAACAAATAACTGTGCTGCTCACTACTTACCAGCACGGATCTGGCTCTTTGTACAGAGCAGAGTGGTGGCTGTGTTCTGCTGGCTGCTGAGGCAGAAGCTCCCCAGAGTGCTCCCAGGCTATTTAAAGGGACCTGCTGCTGCCATCCTGCTGCAGGGCAGAGCAAGGAGAACAAAAAAAAGAGAAAGGAGACAAGAGAGGTCTGGACTCACCCCCAGAGCCCCCAGTGCAAAGCCAAGAGAGCTGTGGCAGGTGAGGCTGTGCTGTGCCCCAGTGCCCCTGCAGACACCTCTGCCCCTGCCAGCCCCTCCACCACCTGCCCAGCATGGCTGTCACAACCCTCTGCTTTGCCCTTGTTGCCACACGGGGAGTAAGGGAAGGTGAGATGTTAAAAGGCTGGGAAGAGCTGCCATAGAAACAAGATTGAGGTTCCTGGACACAACACCAGCAACTAGAGGCAGGAAAATGTCACCAAGTCTCCAAGTGACTCTTCCATCCATTCAGGGACTAAGCAGGGATGTGTGAGTGTGCCTGTTCACAGACACATACATGTGTGGACACGCTCCCTACACACAGAGTGGGTATTAGGTCTGTATATATATTCACAGACACAGTAGGTATAGAGCTGCAACCTCTCCCATCCTTTTTTAAACACACTTCAAGTCAGCATTCATCTTCTGCCTTCTCCCTCATGGATCCTCAAACAGAGATTGAGTCACAACAAGCTGAGTTTAACACAGTATAAAAAATGCAGAATCTTTAAATAAGCTTAAAGTTCTTGAAATATATATATATATAAGTATATATATAGAAAATAGTGCTGCTTTATTTATTTCTCCACCCAACTGAAAGGAATTGATTTTCTTGACCTCTATCCACTTTCAAAGGCAAAAACATGAGCTACACCATCCTGACAGAAAGAGAAGTAGAATTAGCAAATCAGTGACAGGACAGCCACATGGAGAGCGTTCAGCACTGCAGGAATTCAAATTGCCCACATCAGCCCCTCTCAGGTTAAATTGCCAAGAGATGCACAGATCCATGATGCTGCTTTGTTCCTAAGCCCTGCTGGAACAGCACTGACTGGCCTGCAAGGAAGGAGGAGGTGGCAGTGCTGCAGCCAGCGCGACCTATGGACATTCGCAAGACAAAGCCTGCAGACCATGGCAATATCTTCTGGAAGATCAAGAGCTATAAATGGGGAAAAGACAACCCTCTGGGAACAGAAGGGCCTGAAATAGAAGCAGAAGCCTGGGGAGCTGTATGCCCAGCAGGAACAATTGCTCAGGCTTGTATCAATTCAGTCACCTTGGAGAGAAAAGTGAGCTGTGCTTTTGTGAGGTAAAGGGTGAGAAAGAGGAAGGCGAGTTGATGTGGTGACTTTTTCCTAGGACAAGAGGTAGGTGGTAACCTCTGCCCAGATGACAGAGGTGCTAGTGAAGAGAAGGGAAGTTCATCCTGTAGCCACTGAGCCAGTATTCCTTTCTGCATTTTGTATTTACTGAAGTTTTGTATTTACTTCCCAGGCTTAACCTTGAGAAATGTCCTGTTCAGGAAGACTGAAATTCCTCTGCAGTTCTTCTCTGAGGTACCAGAGAAGCTGCTGCACCAAGATCCAGACAGAACTGGGCAGACAGAGGGAAAGATGGACACAATGCAAACATGGAAGAGAAGGAGGGAGTTAAACTGGAGGAAACCATTACTCATAGTTTGCAAGTTATACAGCTGTAATCATTTCCAAAGCAGAGACTGTTTCCAGCACACCAGAGGAGTCAAAAGAAATAACAGATGTCAACAAATGAATCTATGAGGGATCTGATGCCTGGAAGGAGCCCAGGTTGCAGTAAGGGATTATGGCTGGTAGACACAAGGAGAGGGGACTTGTTCCTTCCACTTCTGCCCTCAAGGCAGCTTGCATGGACTTGTCTACAGAGCAGGATGAGCCCTTACATGTTTATTTGCTTTGACCCTCTCCAAGAGGAGTGAATAAAAAGAATAACATTTCCACTGGCCTCAGCTTCTGTAAAAACCCATCCTTAACATGCTCAGCTGAAACCACAGCGTGTCTTTAAGACAAACCAGCAGAAATGAGGTCATATGCTGAATTCCAGCCCTTGGTCCCTGTCAGAGTGCTCTGTGCAGGAGGCCGCTTGCTCTTGAAGGAACTTGGATCTCAAACAAACAAACAAAATCACCCAGGGAGGTTTTTTGGGGGGAAACACCAAGAAAAAAACCTGAGAGAGTCACGTACAAAACCCAACTAAAATTTTGCTTTTCAAGGCAAGACCAAGAATCCACGTCGGGTCATTCTATACTCAAGGTTAGACCTGGACTTACAGTGTTTTCCAAACCTATAAAAGTCACCTAAGCACTGTGCTAAAATGCATTTCTTGTTTCACTGAAAGAAAATAAGACACTCCCAGTGGGATATTGCACACAGGGGGCAGGATGGCCAGATTCCAGCTGCACAGGGCTAAGAAATGAGAGACCCAGTTTGCCTCTGGTCCTCCGAGCTGAGCAGGGTGATGTGCCCATCTCTGCCAAAGCCCAGCACCCCAGCTCCAGTCTCCCTATGCCTCTAGACCAGATCCTACACTAAATTTGGCTGTGGGACTTCCTAACAATCCAGGCAGCACCCATTTATTTAGCCCAATGAACCACCCTCAATGTAAAGCCAGGAGAGTTATCAACAGGACCTGTTGATAACATTAACAGACTAAACTGTTCAGAATTCAAAGCTGAAAAGGCAAAAGACTGGAATTACTGCCATCCAGCAGCCAATTGCATTAAACTCTTTAACCACACTAGAAACAGAAAGTTTTCTTGTGGTAAAAACTTCGTATCACACACAAGGGGATTTTCAGCCTCCCCAGTACATGCTTTCCTAAACAACCAACCAAGTTCTGCTTTTAAAATGTTGTGGCTCAGCCTAGCAGTAGCTTCTGTGCCTCCTGCCTAAAGTGCGGGTTTTCTTAGCACCAGAGAGGAATTACATGAAGCAGCAGTATTTTTCTTAGCACTCCCACATGAACCTACAAAATGCTGTATTTACCTTTTTAGCTCCTAGCAATGTCCAGTGTTTTGAAAATGTTTTGGGGGGAGAGAAAAAAAAAAAGGAAGATGGAAAACAAACAAACAAAT